AGGGAAGAAATTCAGAAGAGAGCATCCACTGGCCATCACAAAAGGGCAGCTCACTATTTCAATGTGTCCATCAGGAGCTCAGTTCTCTGCTTCTCTGGGGAAGGACTCAATCTCTGTTGAAAGACTTTCATGTCATTACAAATTCTCAGGACAATATCCTTCCTGACTAATCTGAATCATCAGGGTTGTGACCCTGCTAAAAGTTTTTAGATATCTTTGTCAAATAACATAAAACATGAGAGCAACTAAGTCCCATTGTTTTGGCAGGTCCAGGTTGTCATCCAAAGGAGGAAATGTCGAAGGCATTTATCAACAGGACAGGTGTCATAGAAGCCATTCAGAATTCTGTCTGTAGAAGGGCCAGGAGGAGCTCCCACTGCTGCTGTGCTCACCAGTACCTGAGGAGGCACATGAACCCAAGGGTAGGCTTGGAAAAGTGAGTCCTTGGTCTTATGCATCTACACATCTTTTACATCTTAGGTGGTGTGTTCTGAATGAAAGAAATAGATTCATCAATAAGAGAATACTCTTGTTTTTAGTGGAGAAAAGGGACTAGCCAGCAAACATACAACTTTATATATTGCTAAGTGTTTGAAATAAGCACCTACCTGAGGAGGAACTGATTTAAAAGCATGAGGGCACCTTGGAATCAAATTTATTAAAACAAATAAATAATAAATGGCTAGCAAAATGCATGGTTTTGGTGGATGGAAAAACACATTACTTTTTGGTGTTATTTATTGTACTGAAGAAAAAACATGAGTAAACCACTACCTAGAAATATATATGGATTATTGAATGGATTATTGAAATTTTCTTACCTCCACAGAAGATGGTCAAAATCAATACGAATTTTATTTTATCTTTATAAAGTAACTTGCAGTTTGCTTTAAAGAATGGGACTTAAGTCTTTGTTACTATTCTAGTTGCCATATATGTTTTCCATGTACCTGTTATTTGAATTAAGTGGTAACAGCAGTTGAAACACTAAACACATGAACAACTACAAGTAATTTGCTATTTTTATATAGATTATTTTGAAGGAGATAAATGGGAAGACTTTGCATGACACATAGTAGCTGGTAAGTGGTAAATGGAAACAAGTGGGTAACTGTCACCTTTAATGAACACTAACTTGTGCAAAATCTTAACCTCCAAGCAATAGTCTCTGATCAGAAATATGGGATACTATAGAAATAATATGCCCTCTTTATTAATAACAATTCACTATTACTGA